GGGAGGTGTGGCGCTGTGGGCAGGACGAGGGGGGAGGGCGCTATGTAAAAAGGAACAGAATAAGCAACAGTATCATTTCTAGATTCATCTTATATTTGACTCCCAAAGATTCAAAGTAATTCTTTTTAACATTTTGGTATTTATTCTGAGCATTATGCTGAGAAAGCACTTTTGTAATCCAAGGTCTGAAATTACCTCCAAAGTGCTCATTTTGCAACAGACCAAACAATACTGTTGATAACATGAACATGTTTTTATTCAAGACAGAATATGACTAAATGTCGATATTATCAGGTCACAGATGCACAGAAAATCTTGAGAATCAAACCAAATTACTCACTGCTACAGACACCTTGAATTTCCATTCCCTCAGGATCACAGGTCTGTAGCTTTGCATCTGAAATACCTATGAATTGTTCGTAAATTGTATATTCACACACATAAAGTATGTACACCAATGCTCTTAAATTATTGCCCTATGTTAAAAATACACCAAATATCACAAGACACTAATTGAAGTGTAAATTAGCAGAACAGAAGCAATCTTGTAATCCGACCCATATACAATTATGGTAGCAGTCAGTACAAAGCCTTGCTTTGGAAACCACAAGTAGATTGGCTACACCTAGGAGGAAGGGTACAGAACATTCTACCACCTCTACATCTTTTACTGCAGATGTACCCAGCCAATACTTATAGATGTTGTTAGTGAATAAAAAGGAATTAAACTATTCTCTTGAATATATATTTTGTCTCCTCAAATCCACATCTGAATGCTTATTCATTAATTGTAACCCTCGACGGCCAAATTCAGTGCAGACCTGCTTTAAAAAAAAACCACCTTTCCTACAGGGGCCTAAGAAAATGTGCCTGTGCACTGCTATTGCTTGGTACTTTGAATGTAATATAAAAACAAGTGGAACTTTGATTAAACATGAAAATACCAGCGTGTTTGTAACAGGACTAGAAAGAGGTTAGTCACTCCACTCAAACAAAGTCAAAAGGACAGCAGCAACACTGAAAACCCTATTCACCAAGAAGAATGAAGAGCAGATTTTGATGTTGCATGCTTCAGTGATATGATACAGCATTTGAATTCCTTAGCATGTAGAGGAGAGACTGTTTGAAAATTTGCATCAAGTGTTTACAGCTATCAAGTGTTAAGGAGAAAACACAGTACACATGGTAACATAGATACAAAAAGCAGCACAAGAGTACAATGCACTTTGCGTGAAAACATCATCTTAAAAGGAGGCTTCTGAACTCAAAATGTGTTTCCTATTTACGGTATTCAGCAGAGTCAAACCAGAGTTACGTTTCTTGCCTACTTTGTTTTCAGGAAGTAAAAATTTGCTAGCTCACTGCCTATGGTTTTTACATCCTCTTTCCATGAGCCATCATCCAAAGTAAATGCAAAGTTTCTATAGTGCAGGAGTTCTTCATTGCTTCAGTCACTTGCATGCTGAAATGTCCCATTTCTGGCATTTTTTTTCTGTCAACAAACCCTTGGAGAATGCCTTAACAATTGGACCTAAAGGTATAATGATAATAAAGCACCAGAAAACCCACTGATAGTTTTGCTATTAAGCTTTTGAAAGCAGTTGGTAACAGAGAATATGACTTAGAGCAATATAGTATACGATGCATAAAAATATTGCTAGTATTTTCACAATGGTGTATTATACCAGCTAATAAGTATTTCCTACTACACTAATTTGTCACTATTTCACAGTATTTACAACTGTAAGGATTTAACCATGCCTTCCTTAAGTTATCTAAAACATCTAGCATGAATAATGAAATACTGAAGTTTTGAGCTGTGAACACCAACACACTTTTGCAGCAGAAGGGTCCAAGACAACGTGAGACATTGCAAAAGGACTCTACTTCAGTTCTTTCTCATGGTACTAATAAAGTAGAGCATTTCTGTGTTGAATTTTCTTCTAGCAACAACGCGTATACTCTACAGAAAGATGATAAAAGAGTTACAGCAAGAAAAATATTCCCAACAATGCTAAACAATAATTGATATAAATACAGTTTGGTCAACTTCTTAAACAAAATTTACTCTGACACATAATTCTACGCATATTCAGTAACGGGTATTTGCAGAGTACGAGTGCCATTGTAGGTATTCTGAATTTTGACTTCTAGATGTGTCTTAGAGCCCCACCTCAGTATATGGAAAATTTCAATTCTTAAGTTTGAGCTTTGAACAATACTTGAGTGCTAAATGTAAGTTAAAAAGGGGTGGTGTGAACCCACCTTACCACACCAAATCATTTTTCTATCGTATCAATATTAAAAGCAAGGATTGCAAGACATTTTAACATGTATAACTATTTCCAGACATTTCCATTCAGCCAAGTATCAGAGAAACTCACTTCCACATAAACACACACACTTAGTTGAGTTAGAGCACGCATTTTCTCACCTTCTGCACAATACCCCATGCATCCTTGGGTGGGCTGCAGTAAGTAAACAAAGAAATCTCCACAGTTCCTCACACTGACGGGGATTTGGAAAAGACAGCAGTCTTTTGAAGCGCTGAAGAAAAACTGCCATGTCGCACAAGCTGTTAACTGTTTGATCTCACCGGGTCGAGGCATGGATTCTGACTCCCTCAGAGACAACCAGACAGGAGCTTGAGTACCACAATGATTCATCTTCAGCACCAGAGAAAAACATCAGAAAATGGTTAATGCTATATCAAACTGTTGCTGTGCTTTAATGAGAGGTACATACGTATTGAATTAATTTCCTGCATGAGCTTTTAGCAAAGTTTAGACAGTATAATTGAGGGCTTGCTTACTTTCCTTCTCAAGCTTGAATACAAATACACACAAAAGAGACTTAAGCCCTTCTTTGAATCTCATTAATTGGTGTTTCTAGAGACAGGCTATAATTTAGTGCCTGAAGAACTTAACCAGGAGCCACACCTGAATGTTTTGCCCAAAAAAGCTAACAGTTGTGTTATTGCTTAGTGAGTTACTCTACACCCGTTAACCTACAGTAACTGACTGTACGCATGCTATCAGAGCACAGCAAATACAAGGTAGAACATGCATACGCTGAATATCAACTAAAGGTGCTAAAGCTGACATGTTTTATCTGCCCTTTGCCATGGACTGAAGGCTCAGCTAGCCTCCTGGATTTCTTCTGAGATGTAGCCAGCTGATGCAAGGTTACTGACTTGCAGCCCTAGCCAAAAATGCAGGACACCTGATAAGTCCTCTCTGTCTTTCAATTGTGATTTAAGAGGGCCGTTGTTCCCTCTCTTGCAAGCAAAAGCCTTGTTCGGTGCTTTTCTTCACAGAGTGAGAAGTGTGCTGTGGAATAGTCTCCTTCACCCCTCACCACTGTGGCTATGTGAGGTCTTCAGCTCAAGGAAGCTGCCATGCAGGTCACAACTTAACAGTGGTACCAATCATAGTAACTGAAGTGCAAGTCCGATTTAGCAGACACCAGAGTTTACCAGTGGAATAGAGAAAAGTGAATCCTGAGAAAAGGAGACAAAGAAGGAATCTGGTTCATGGATTACTAGAATGAGTTAAAGATCACCTCCTGTCTTTCATGTGCTGCAGAAAGCAAACTGAAGAGAAACACCTAGAAGGACGCAGTGTGTTAAAGCTAGCATTTGGAAAATATTTACATGGAAGCTATAAATCTGAAATTTTGAGATTTTGAGAACCTCTTCTCCTTCATACATCGCCTCAAGTATTCCTTTCTTTGACCTGATAGTGAAACAACATCTCAGATCATCTTGTCTTTAGACCTCTTGGTCTAAAGCCTACTGCAGACTCATTGTGCAATTACTCCTCTCGAAAGTGCACTTTTCTTTCTTAGTGTAGAATATCTGAGCCTACCACCAATCCATCAGACAGACAGAATTAATGAGAAGTAGACAGAAATGGGATGGATTGTTTAACAGAGTCTGAATCTTTGACAAGGATTAAACACAGCTATAATAAAAGTTCTCCTAAAGGGAAAGAAAGGAGGAAACCTACCAAACAAGACATGCATTTTAGTTTGGTTTTAATGTTTTGACTTTGCGATTTTAAAATAAATGTCTTGTTTTTGTCAACAGATGCAAAGAAGCAGATGTCAATGCATAAATTTCATTTGCTGAATAAGTTTTGAAACAATCTCTTTCCAACTGTAATTAGCTGGACTCCTCTGTATTAGGACAGTAGCCTATTTTTACCAAATATTTACTAAGCAATGAGAATTTTGGTCAGAGTTCTAAAACTGTCCTAGATGATCTGAGCTTTCTAGTCTAACCTCTGTTCTGAAAAACATGTTTTTTCGCCTGGTTTATCATGCTGGTTCTCTGCATGAAAGTATCCATTTTGAAAAAATACAACTAGTTAATTAATTTGTTTGTACTAAATCTAACTGAAAGAAAGTTCTTCTGGAATCATACTTTTTGCTAGTTTTTTGCAGTATAAAAGCCTGGATAACAGTAGCCTCTGCAACACAGACCTCTGAGTCCTTGAGTCAGCTGCACATTAAAGGTACTTCAGTGGCTTTACACTACTGTAAAGATTTAATAAAAAATTAATTCATTAATTAATAATGAGAGGGGCTGCTATAAACCCAATTTAATTTTATTAGTATGTTTTAACTGCTTTGTATTCCTTTAAAAGTGTTTCATTGTTGGGCTTTTATTTTCTTTTTTTTTTAGCAGACTGTGACTAGGCAATTTCAATTCATTAGAAAAATCATGGGTAAAATATTCTAATAACATTTTTATTATTTTTAAACAAGGAAATGTTTTAAAATAGGAAAATACAAAGATATATCTCCTTAGAATATAATAATTACAGAGATGTTGGTACGCTCCAAAATAAAGCATTATAAGTCTGAAAGTATTAAATATTAAATTGAGTCTTAAGGGACTTGCAGATGACAAGGCAACTAATCGTCAGTTAGCTGTGTTAGTTCAAGTCATTTTAGGAGTAATTGATTCTCTCTAACATGATCACTTGAAGAGCTCCACAATTACTGGATTCATGTGTGTGCAAGTCTTTATACTGCTGTCACGAGGCCTTCCCAACAGACTGACCATCACACAGTTGGAGTTTTACAACATGATATCCCTGCTACGCTGCCACTGACAAAATCTTCTCTAGCAGTGACTACAAATGACAGTTTTTGAGTGCTCTAAAAGGGATGTAATTTATCATCCTCTGCTATTGCCCATTCTGTGTAAAATTTTCAACGCTTAAGACTTAATTGTTCAGTTAACACATTTTAATATACTCAAGTCTTTAGAGAGAATAGGTACTCTGTATTCCTCCACATCAGTCTCCATAACCGTATTTTTTTTATATACCTATCCTACTGAAAAATTCTTAAGAAAAAATATGTGTTTCTCATAATCAAATGAGTTGTAACAATACCTCCACACACTTGGTCGGCATCTCAGCAGGCTTATCAAAAATCATAAAGCGATACCATCCAGGTGTTAGGGAATGGTCACATATTAAATCCTGAATAGCTGATTGCTGGAGGTGGGATGAATCGAAATCAACACTTCGGTAAGGGCTCTGCAGGATCTGATGTCCACCAGGAGAGCATTCAAGAACTGTGGAGCAAGAGTATTTCGAGAATCAAGATGGAATGCCTAACAAGTATGTTAGAAAAGATGTTAAGTATTTTTAACAGGAAAATATGGATACATCGCAATATGATGTGAAGCTACTTTTACTGAAAAACATATTGAACTCTTAGTAACAACAACAAATAGGTATGTTAGTACTCCAAAATTTAATAGAATTCATCATATGGTAACTTCCTCTTCTTTAAGTGGACAATAAATGCAAATTAATAACCACATTAGGCATTACCCTAGATGTAAAAACAGTGGAAAGGAATATGTTTATACTTTCTCTTTGGATTTTGACTTTCTAGTTCCACTGGTGTTTATGAAACCTAACAACCTGAATAAAAATGGGGTGTCAGACAGAAGAGAGAATCAAAATCTTACCTCAAGAGGAGTAAGGATTATCCAAGCGTCTTTTGTAAATAGGCTACCACTTTACAGCATTCATATGCATGAAATGAAGAATTCCCTCAAGTGGATGAGAGGTAGTTGCATACAATTTGCATGTAGACATGCAGATCATAGCAAAAGTGTGCATGGAAATGGGCAGATACTTAGTTACACATTTTAAGTCAACTTGCATGACGGACATGCTAAATTTTAATAAAGTAAATACAACTGACAAACATATTTTTGGACATCCAAGTGACCTTGTGGCCCCCAGAAAAAGCTCAAAATTGCTGATAGGTAAAAGGAAGGATCAGAATCTGAAGAAGTCTTTACAACAGGTTTTTTTTAAATGCAGACTCATTCAGAAATAAAGCAGAATGCCAGAATTTCTGAGTCTGACCTGGCAGCTGAGTTGACTCCTGTCAAAGACAGTGACAATAAAAGTTCTGGCTAATGGCATATCGCATGCAACGTACCGAATGGCCATTCTTGTTCAGGAATGTGCTTGGGAAGTGAAAGTAGGGGAAAATAAAGTAAGAGAATGTTTATAAATAAATAACATTTAAAATATACCTATCTATTACTAACGAATTAAAAAAATGCAGCTGTAAGCAAAGCTCTATAATCTTAGATTTTGAATATTAATACTCTGATCTTCAGTTTTTGCTCCCAGGTTTTTCTGTATTTGGCCCATGTTTTGCATGGTGTAATCGTGTCACTGATTAGAAACATATTTTGGTTCAAATCATGCAGTAATGCACTATCTATCTTCCACATTTTTCATGTCATTGTCCAGATAACCACAATTATAAAACAGTTTCAAAATCAGGTAATTCCTCTCCTTTAAATGGAGAAGATGCCCCAGTGAAAGAACAGACTTCATCTCTTTCAAGCATAGTATGAGAATCCTACAGTCTTTCAAAGACTGAAGATTTAATCTGATATGGCTTTAGGCTACCCAGGCAGGTAACAATAGCTTTATCTTCTATCCTCTAAGGGCAGATGGAAGTCAATGTGATTGACTGTGCCACCACTGTGCTTCTGAGTTGCTTGTAGTAGCCTGTAGGCTATTTGTGTCCATACAAGTTGACCTTATTGAGAATTCATCCTTCATTGGAATTTGAAGAAAAGCCCTTGAAGAATCACTGGTCAGTCATGTGTGTTATTGAAATGTTTTCCAAGCAAGCTACAGCACAAGCAGTTTACGAACCATGGAGAAAGTTTCTTCCTGTCTTCTATTTTTACTGGAATTCTCCCTTTCATACAGCACCCTCATTAGTTTTCTTTCCTGTAACTAAATCACTCCTGAAACAATTAATATCTGTTACCTTTTCCATTAATAAATCAAGCTAGACATGAGACAAGTCTTTATTTTCTTTTCCTCCACAGTTTAATTAGATCATCGTTTGATAGATCTTTAAAACAGCTGACTGTACTCACTTGTAATAGGGTTATAAATCCTACTAAAGATCAAATTATACGTTTCTTCTTATTATGCACATCACTTTAAAATGTCATCTAGCTCTTCGTGTATTCTTTCTTCCTTTTTAGAAGTATGCTAATATTTCCATAATTATTGCTTGGAAATCTCATGTTGCCTAACACTGGTTGATTTTTTTTCTTTCTTTCTTTTCCTTACCCATTCTGCAAAACAACTGAAAATAACTGTCACCATCAACAATACAAATTAAAATATTTTATTACACATTTGAGTGTAACTGATGTGCTGTCTAACAACAGCAGAAACAAATAAAACTATTATATTTACGGACACGTATACAAGAAATGAATGTTGTGTTCTCTGTGAAAAAGCTACCCCTGCAGACCAGATCTGCTCAAATCACAAGCATTGAAGAGGGGAGTTGGCTAAATTTTCCACTGAAATCATGATTTCCTTATTCAGGATGTATAAAAAAAAATAATTTTGATACAAGCATTCTATCAAAATTCATTCTCAGAATGATGAATACTGATTTTGCTGTAATGCTCCAGAAAAGCTTTGCCTGTGTCTAACACCCAGCAATTTTCAGCCCAAGGAGTCAAGTCTGACAAAATAATAAGGAACTGAAAACAGGGTCTGATAATTTGAAAGTGCTAAGGAAGCTTACCTACAGGGCAAGCTCACCTACCAGCTCTGCCAAGTATGGGAGGAACATTAAAGTATGGGAAGATGTATGTGCTACTGTTGACTTGACTTCATCCACAATCACAAAATATTCTGACATGTTCTGACACAAAATGGAAAACTCATGTTAGTTTTAACAGAATTTATCACTTAAGCCTGATTACTCTTGATGGAAGTATTTCCATATATATGGGAGTATTCTTTTTAATTATTTCTTTTCAGACCTTTAAATGTATTAGTGATTTAGTAACTTTAATTTTAAATATTTGCTTTAGAATAATGAAATTCTCATTATAAAATACACGAATGAATACTTAAGAATTAAGACCATGAAATTCAGACTCCTTTGTAGATTTTGCACCATTAGTTTAACTTAACCTAGCGGAGACACATGTGATACGCTATGAAGAGGGACTTATTTCCAGGAAGTCAAACTCTCCCATTTTGTTTGGAGGTCCAGATACTACACACTGTCTGCTGAAAAAGCAATCCGTCTAGGGAAAACATGCAGCTGTTTCCCTAGAATTTGAGTTTACTTATCATATTCTGTGCTTCTTTCCACAAACACCCTGTATACTGCATATGGCGCTCTCCTGTTCTTTAACTGAGGCCTCCACATGCCAGAAGAATTTGATTCCATAGTTGCATTTTCCTGACTGTCTTCAGGACTAATAGAGAGAGCTTTGTCTGGATCCATCCCAGACCTACTTGGTCCTCCCAGATACTGAGAAATGTGACCCTAAGCCGGAAAAGAATTCAACTTTTGCAACATCTTAAACAGAAGGATAGCATTGTGCTGGCAGATGAGCCTTTTGGGAGAGATGCAGATGAAATCTCTGCCCACACACTGGGGTTTGTAGTATGACTGCCACCAACTGGGGCAGGTAATGGGTACTCGGAACACCACACGTTAACCAAAAGTCAAAGAGGTTCTTGAAACCAACACAGGAGCTCATTTTCCACAAAGAAATATTTAAGTGGCTCCCGCTGACTGCCTCTGAGGCACTGGGGTGGAAAACGGGAGTTCCACAAAGGAACAACTTTCAATTCCCTGTTCACATCTCTGTTCCAATCCATGTGCAGAGAGGGGCTGATGATTTTCCACCTGTCCGTAATGTTTCCAGCATTATGGAGCAGTCACGGACTGAGGACTGCTGCGTGCAAACCAGAGCAGAGATGGGAAAAGGAGATACTCACAGAGGGAGGCACGGGCAAGGGCAAAGTGGCAGGACTGACAACTCAGTTCCTCAGGTAGGAATAGCTTATCAGTTTATATCTCCTGCTGTCCAAAGGCCAGGATCTGGCAAATGACTACAGATAAACAAATAGTGCCATTAGCAAGTGCTCACTCTGATCCTGAATGTGCTTTTTTTTGCATCTACCGACTGCAAAGGATGCAGCATATCAACATCCCATGGCATAAATTAGAACTATGACTGCATTTAATGAAAGTGCTCAGATGTATTTGTGGATTTAATCTCTTCCAAAAATACTAAAATAGAAAGAAGTTCACTTTTTGGAAGAAGTTATCCTGAAATAATTATTTCGGGCAACACTTTTAAAGCAAAATATAAAAGTGACTGTGACTACCTAAAAGATACCATTTGCTTGGATAAGACATATCAAAGAACACGATCGCAAATGTTGTAGCAACGACAGTATCGCGACGCAATGGAACAGGAATATGAATACTCCTATACACGGAACAATGAAGAAAATAGAATCAACACATGTACATTAATACATCTTTATAAATAACCTTATTTGAATGGATGTTAAAACACTTTTCAACCACTCATGTCCACACCCTAAGGGGCGTTTTGTAAAGGCAGTAAACAGTTGCATAACCTTTAAAAAATGTAAAATATATGCTTAGAGAATATTTTCTAGTAGTTCTCAATATGATACGCTATTGCATTTACTCTATATGGATTTTCTCTCAGAAATTTGAAACAACACAGCTATGGGTTTTGCAAAGCATTCTGCAGAGGTCCCAGGTAAGGGCGTGCCAATGCGCCGCATGCGCTCCGGCACACAGGGAAAAGAGGGCAAGGAAGAGAGAGCGGGAGAATCAACACTCCTGGTCTTCGGTAGGTTTTCCCTGCAGGTGCACTGTGACAACGACAATTTCTATTTTGTCAGTTCATAAAGTTAAGCCTCTTCCAGTGAAACGAGTTACATGTAACTGCCGGGCTGGAAAACAAGCGGCGTGCGGGCACGGGGGACGGACCTGACCCGAGCCGCTCCTGGGACCGGCCGGGGAGCAGGCTCCCTGCCGGGGCGCTGCTTCAAAGCCCGGCGGGGCTGAGGGCAAGCGCTGCCCTCGCCGC